ATAGTAAATAGTGTGATAGTAAATAGTAAATAGTGTGATAGTAAATAGTAAATAGTGTGATAGTAAATAGTAAATAGTGTGATAGTAAATAGTAAATAGTGTGATAGTAAATAGTAAATAGTGTGATAGTAAATAGTAAATAGTGTGATAGTAAATAGTAAATAGTGTGATAGTAAATAGTAAATAGTGTGATAGTAAATAGTAAATAGTGCGATAGTAAATAGTAAATAGTGCGATAGTAAATAGTAAATAGTGTGATAGTAGATAGTAAATAGTGTGATAGTAAATAGTAAATACTGTGATAGTAAATAGTAAATAGTGTGATAGTTGGGGTGTAGCGAGTACTGACAGAAGCTTTGTAAAAGCTGAAGTTTACTAAAAACAATTCGACAATTACGGAAATTCCTGTATGTACACGAGTGGTCTCTTTTCCCTGGTTTTTCGTAAAGCTTGAATTATGTTAATTTATTGTCTTTGTGCTTGGTTCCCCGCAGGGTAAGGATGGGTTAGGTTTATGCGAATAAAAGGCGCTTTACTCATGAGTTAGCGTAGGTGGTCTAATAAATACAAATGTCAGATGTAGTTTGTGAATTAAGATGTGTGTCAATTACTCTCAAGTATAGAGGGAAAGCGACTAATGTTTTGTCATTCTGGTTCGACTTTACCTTTGGCTGACGCGACGAGGAATAATTTGAATATATCAACAAAGTTGAAATGGTAAATTGACCACCGTTACGGTTATAAAAGCTGACGTTTCGAGCGTTAGCCCTTCGTCGGAGCCCTTCTTCCGGCCAATTTAAATCGAGAATGAGATCGAGTGAAATATCAGTGCCAGAGATTCAGTGGGAGAGTGCATATGAAACTATAAAGGCGTGTGAAATCATGGTCTGGAATAAATTATCTAAATCCGTAAGAAGACACATGCAAGAAGCAGTGTCACGCAACTTTCTTTCTGTATCACTGACTTTACAGGCACTCCATTTGTAAACAGTGATTGGTATGAAAAATTTTTACTCAGAAACAGTGCAGCTTAAGAGGAAAGGCAGACCAGGAAGAAATGGGCAAGTAATCCACCATGGCCATCTGCACAGGCGGCCCAAGCTCTCTTTAAGAACCACACAAGGAGCACAATTTGCATATCCATTTATAAGGATTTGCATGGGATTTTCTACAAGATATCTATGGAGATAATTAAAGTGAAAATATTAAATAAAAATGGCTTACCTTATTCCATACGTGTGTTATTTGCTCCTGGGTCGCTATTCTACCTATTTAACTTGATTTAAGCGGTTTTGTTTTTAATGCTGGTTTTCTCTTCTTAAAGAAAAGACTCTTTAAGAAGAGAAAACCAGGATTTAAAAAAACCGCTTAAATCAAGTTAAATCGGGAAAATAACGACACCAGGAGCAAACAACACACGTATGGAATAAGGTTAGCCATTTTTATTTAATATTTTCACTTTTAACTATCTCCATGGATATCTTGTAGAAAATCCCATACAAATCCTTACAAAACGATATGCAAATTGGGTTCCTTGTTTTCTTAAAGAGAGCTTGGGCCGCCTGTGCTTCCCACTGTGCCATCGTCTCTTCAGGACTATCCACAACATCAAAAAATACAATTAACGTAAGAATCAAAGAGAACTCGGAGAAGTATATCTGAACCTCAAGGGCAAGGGTACGATAAATCCCCTTTAAGTAAATCGTATCGTTTTGATGACACCTAAGGGAAATACTTAATGGTGCAGATTTCAGACCGGTTGACGAGTGGTACGAATGAAGTGCAAAGAAGGAATTCACTCCCCCTTGGCGTAAATTACTAAATCAGAATCAGGGATGATTTCTGACCATGGGGGATGATTCTGGAAGGTTTACGGATCTTAGTTTACGGGTATGATTCTAGCACTTCTTAATTTAAGATTTATGAGTTGTAGGTAAAAGATTGTTTAGAGAAACTAAAACAAAAAATATCCATCTTCAAAGTAAAGCCGCCATGTTGAAAAAGCAGACACTGATATCAAAGCGAAGATGTCTGTTGCGTTCCCCGCATCCGTTCATTTCCTATTTGAAGTCACGCCATACCTCGCGAGTGTTCTTCAGAAAAAATAATTCGCATCCGTGTTTTACTTAGAAAACGCCCATATGCCAAGTATCAATGAAACGTTTTTATACAACGAGTTCAGTGAAAAACCATTTTAACCCTTTGGGTCATTCGTTTGCTTTAGGGATTTCGCCGAAGTACGGCAACGAAGTACGGCAACGAAGTACGGCAACGAAGTACGGTGTTTATCCACAATTCTCAATGATTGGTGATGTGATACATCTCTGACTATGAGGAGGTTTATTTTTCAGTTGGTCGTATCCCGCTCTCCGCAAAAGAAAACTAGGGAAAAACTGGTGGGCAAAAAACCGAGGGGTGGGAGGCAGGGGGTGGAGAGATTGGGGTTACAGTACTCGCCTTTTACTCGTCTCCACCGAATTGAAAAACTATAACTGGTTATTTGCTGTTGACCGATAAAGTCTTTATCTTCATTTGAAACCTTCCTATAACCTCAAAGAAAATGTCTCTAAGCCGACAATTGACACTTAAATCCACAAAACTAAATTCTACACGCAGATGGTAGCTTTTTATTCGACGACTGAAAAAACACCTCGAAACAACAACCTCGTGGCCGAAACATTCTTCGTATAAGGAAAACTATTCAGTCCTTATCTTACACCTCGTTTCGGACACATTACATTTCACAACTGTTCTATTTTGCAAGGAAGGCTTCACCGCCGCTAACGTTCCTCCTCTGAAAAAGTCTGTTAAACAAACCTTGATCCCTCTATTCCTCTTTCGAAAAAAATTACCAAAAACAAAAAAACACAAAATACAGTGAAACTGTTTGGAGAGCCAAAAATTGTTTGTTTAACGACTTTCATGGCAACTTAACAAAACAGTTAAATTTATCATATTTTCCTAGCGTCAGTTATAAAAATACAACAGTCATTGAGTCATCTCTGCACTGTATGCAGTCAAAGACACAATAGCTACTTTGGCTAAAAATCTACTGCATGCAGAACAACATGATACTCTCCTGCTAATCCCTCACTTCTATGCGTGATGTGTCATAAATAATGGAAGACTGTCGTTTCAGGCAAAAGGAAAAGGCTATGCTTCCGTCGTCAATTTCTGGCCCTTTGTACACATCAAGTAAAATATTTACAACGATTACAAATTTTCCTTGAAAATAAAAATAAAAATCAGCAATATTTGAGCTGTTTCCCAATGAAATAAAACTATGCTTCAATCAATAATCTACTTCTTGCTCATTTGCGAAGGAATATATCTCTATACCTGCTAAGAGTGTTCTTCTTATTGTATTCAAATCAGTCTCATGCATTACTGAAAGAGTAAGCCGTCTGATTGTCCAAATTCAAGTTCAAAGAAGTATTAACTGAAAGGACCTGAGAGAGAGCAGCAGCACCAGAATCACCAATGTCATTGAAACTCAAGTTCAAATCAGTCAATGAAGTATTAAATGGAAGGACCTGGGAGAGAGATGTGGCACCAGAATCATCAATCCCATTCCAGTCCAAATTCAAACCAGTCAATGTAGTATTGATCGCAAGGGCCTGAGAAATAGAAGTGGCACCGGAAGCACCAACCTCATTACAACTCAATTCCAAATTAATCAAAGTAGCATTGACAGAGAGCGCCTGAGAGAGTGATTCAACACCGAAAGGACCAATCTTATTACCCCACAAGTTCAACTTAATCAATGAAGTATTGATTGGAAGGGTCTGAGAGAGAGAAGCTGCACCAGAATCACCAATCTTATTACAACTCAAGACCAAATTAGTCAATGTCGTATTGACTGAAAGTGCCCGAGAGAGAGAAGTAACACCAGAATTGCCAATTCCATTCCAATTTAAGTTCAAATAAGTCAATGTAGTATTGATCGAAAGGGCCTGAGAGAGAGAAGCAGCAACAGACGCGCCAATCCTATTACCACTCAAGTTCAAATGAGTCAACGTAGAACTGACTGAAAGGGCCTGAGAGAGAGTGAAGCAGCACCAGAAACGCCAATCCTGTTACCACTCAAGTTCACATGAGTCAACGTAGAACTGACTGAAAGGGCCTGAGAGAGTGAAGCAGCACCAGAAGGACCAATCTCATTACCCCACAAGTTCAAATTAATCAATGAAGTATTGATTGAAAGGGCCTGAGAGAGAGAAGCTGCACCAGCAGAACCGATCCCATTACCACTCAAGTTCAAATTAGTCAGTGTTCTATTAAATGAAAGGGCCTGAGAGAGAGAGAGAGAGGAAGCACCAGAATCACCAATCCTATTCCAATTTAAGTTCAAAGTAGTCAATGTAGTGTTAACTGAGAGAGCCTGAGAGAGAGAGTGAGGCACCACCAGAAGCACCAATCCTATTGTAACGCAAGTGCAAGCGAGTTAATGAACTATTGACTAAAAGAGCCTGAGAGAGAGAGGCAGCTCCAGAATCACCAGTCTCGTTACAACTTAGGTTCAAATTAGACAAAGTGGTATTGACTGACAAGGCCTCAGAGAAAGAGACAGCACCAGAAGCCCCAATCTCATTGCCCAACAAGTTAAAATGTGTCAGTGAGGTATTGACTGAAAGGGCTTGAGAGAGCAACGCAGCACCAGAAGCACCAATCCCATTACCACTCAAGTTCAAATGGGTCAATGTAGTATTGACTGAAAGAGCCCGAGAGAGAGAAGAAGCACCATAAGCTCCAATATCATTACCCCACAAGTTCAAATTAATCAATGAGGTATTGACTGCAAGGGCCTGAGAAAGAGAAGTAGCACCAGAAGCGCCAATCTGATTACTTGCCATGTCCAAATTAGTCAATGTGGTATTGACTGAAAGAGCTTTAAAGAGTGAAGCAGCATCGGTCTCGCCAATACCAGCACGACTCAGTTTCAAGTCCAGATTAGTCAAAAAGGTATTGGATGAAAGACTCTCAAAAAAATATATATTTTAATCGCGGAATCATTCCTGAGGTACAGGCTTTGAGGTGGAGATGAGACCCAAACTCATGAAGCAGCTGGGACTGAAGGCTTTTCTTACATTTGCCTATTCCTCTATTAAACGAAATGCTAGTTCTATAGTACTTTTAACTTCTTTCACTTTTTCACCTAACATATTCACACGAGCAGTAATACGTCTTAAAAGACGCTTGGCACTTTCCTCGCTTTCCAAAACAACAATTCCACTCATGAACAAAATTACTTGATTCAGTTCATCCAAAAGTCTTTCATCAGTTATTGCGATTTCTCCTTCATCGTCTTCGCTGAGAATCGTTAAAGCAAGATGAAATCCGGCAAAGAATTCTTGAAAGCTTTTGTGAAGAAAGCCATAACGAAAATAAGGCTTTCTCTTACTGCCTCCAGACTGAACTGACAGAAATCCAAACTTGTTTACGGGCCTCAGTCTGTTACCAGTTACTTTGCTTTCTTCGACATAGAGCTCACCCTTGAGAAGAGATCGTAACGCTATACGCCCCAAGCATCTGAGTTCCTCTGCGTAAACTTCAATCAAGTCTTCGCTATCGCTGGAAAAACCTTTCTTCTCTTCATATCTTCTCAAAACACACCGTACGTTTTCAATGTAGAATTCAGTTCTGCTCTCTGGAAAGGTTTCTTTAAAGTCCTCACAAAGAATGCACAGTAATGCAGTGTTAAGAGGATTTGACATCAGTTGGCGTGAGGCTGATCTTGTCAAAATCTCTTCAAGAAGTCTATTTGCTAAGTGTTCCATGTTTTTGAAGTACTTGTAAATAAACTGTTCCGCGTCTTTCCATGTGAGTCCTACAATCTCCCACAAGTTATCACAGTAGCGTCTCAGTTTTATCCCAGATTCATGACGAGATGTGAAAACAAAAAGGCATTTAGCGAGTTCTTTTCCTTGGGCGAGATCGATGAACATGCCTATTTTACCTTGGTCGGCTTCGTCTAAACCGTCCAGAACGAACAAAACCCCGGACTGATTCTCACGGATGAACTTGAAAAAGCTTTCTTTACATTCTTTGTCGATGTCGTTACGTAGAAGTTGCTGATCAACAGCTTCCCAAAGGTTAGATTTGATATCATGGCACCTGAGCAGCAAAGGAACAGAAATAACTGGGAAGGTCTCGTCCCATCCTCGGAGATCCAGGGGCTGAGTCGATTTCAAGTTAGGGCATGAAGAGCCCCTGAAGACATTGTCTTACAAGACTAGTTCCAAATGGTCGCAGTCGTTCTGCCATCTGATTGGTGCCAGAAAATCTTTGTGTTTTCCTACCCAATCAGAGTGAAGTGTGCTCTAGAGTCCTTTCGTGTGTTTTAACACGGACATATACTAGTGTGCGACGGAGATTTGCTTGAGGTAAAAAGTTTCAGTCTCAGCACACAATGTAAGAGAAATCGATCAGATTGTCCGCGAAAATCTTACCGGAAATTATACTGAATACTTTCGCAGGTATCACAAGAGAACGTGTTAAAAGTTTGCGAGGTTTGTATACAACACGATGGTTGCAGTCATTGATATGTCGCTTTAAACGTTAAACGAGATTTAAGCTTAAATCTTTCTAGATTTTTTGCATAATTTGCTGTGACTGAAACTTCGCCAATCCTGTGAAGTTGTTTCGTCGCATGGGCCACGCAGGTATGTCAAGCAAACTTTAAAACACGTTCTCTAGTGATACCTGCGAAAGTATTCAGTATAATTTCCGGTAAGATTTTCGCGGACAATCTGATCGATTTCTCTTACATTGCGTGCTGAGACTGAAACTTTTCACCTCAAGCAAATCTCCGTCGCACGTTCCAAACAAACATAGCGAGTAACTGAGCTACTAGTATATGTCACGGAAAGCTACGCATGCGCAATGTGAGCACGCTAGTAAACTCGTACTCGTACTCGTTTCTCGTACTCTAATCTAAAGCTCTCTAATCAGATCTTACGATGAAAATCACGCATGAGTTCGTTCGCCGCTTCTTCAGTCGAGGGTGAAGTGGTAAACAACGAAAATAGAATGGCAGCTTCGTCAACTGCATGATGTTCTTTTCGACATCGTCAAAGGGAGGCAGTGGTACTGTCACCACTTTTCTGTAAAAAATACTCCGCATGACCAGCTATCGTTAATTGTTACATACTCCTTTGACAGATTTGCGTTCGTCTTGTTTGCTATTAAACTAATTTTGTAGGAGTTTTACAGAAACTTATTGCTCTCAACTTTGTCGTGGGAATCGCCGTTGACTTTTTAACGTTCGCTTAGAAACATGCGGTTACAAGGAATAAATAATTTACTTTCCATAAAATCGAAGGGAAAGAAAGTCCAATTTTCAGCCTCAAATGTTCCCATCCCGCTTTCAGAACTCAAGTACTTTCATCTATTTGATAATGATACTTTACTGTTCACACGTACCACAACATTAGAAGAAGCTCAGTCAAATTACAAAAGCTCTTTCAAGGGGTTGAATATCAAGTTGTAAGGGTAGGACATTCCATTCTGCTGGAGGATTTCGTCTCGCTGGCGAGATAGCGAAATGATTGGGTTTTAGGTCTCCATTACGGCGACGGTCGATTATCCACATTGACAAATGGAAAATAATGACACTCAGTATCAAAAGCGAATGTAAGCTTTGTCTGTTTTGCAGTACAAACTTCCTGCCTTGCAAATCATGTTCTTAACGATTTGGTTGTAAAGGTCTAACTGTGT